CCTGCTTAAGACTACTAAACCCCAAGGAACAAAACCTCAAGGAAATGGCAGCATAGTCATAGGGCTGAAGTGACAGAGTAACACAAACTCGATGGCTTGAAAGCTCATTCCCCCGCCTCAATTCTAGAGGTTGGAAGTCTGGCGGGGTCATGCTCTTTTTAAAGGCTCTCATGGAGGATGCTTCTTCATGTCTCCCTAGCTTTTGGTAGTTTCTGGCAATCCTGAGAATTCCTTGGCTTACAGCTGCATCACTCCAAACTATACCTTGGTTTTCACATGTGTTTCTTAGCTGTTTGTCTGTCTCTCTGTGTGAACATTTCCTTCTACTTATACCAGTCATATTGGACTCAGGCCTAATTCAATATGACTTTCATCCTATCCTGATTACATCTTCAAGGACCCTGCTTCCAAATATGGTTACTTTTATAGGTTCTGTGTGAATATGAATTTTGGTGGGATTGTGTTCAACCTACTACAGCCATCAAGGTCCACACGATCTGATGTCTGCCCTAGGACATCATTGTCTGTTACTTTTACTTGTAGCCACTCCTGGAAGACACCAAACACGTACCCACCACAGGGCATTTGAACTAGCTCTTTTCCCTGCTTGGATACAACCAAAGTACTAATCTGAATTCATTTTTGTGTGTATAGTGGAATAGTCCAGAAGTTCTTAGGTGACATTTCATGAAGATTGTGGCTTCATTTTTATGATTCTCTCACCTTTACCTTTGTGTATGTGATAACTTCATTCTCGGGTTAGCTTTCCCCACGGTAATAAAATGGCTGCAGAGGCTCCAGTCTTTTCATTTTGTATTTAACATCTTCTGGATTAAAGGAATTCTTTTTCCCTACTCCTGGGTCAAAAGGCATGAACTTCACTTTACTGTGTGTCTGTACCTGGTAGCCAGGACCACCTCATCTGATGACTGGCTAAGGCCTGAATTAAGTGGCCAGTCACTGTGGTCACTGATTTGTTTAGTCTAGCCAGGGTTAGTGGCCTGGTCCTGGAACTGGAAGTGAGGTGCAGCCTGGTAAGGGACAGGTGCAGAAGTTGCTAGATGGCAAATAAATGTCTACTGCAGTCACTCAGCTAAGTGGGTCTTGATGATTTTGCAGCTTTTTGGGCCTGTTCCTGTAGGGCATGATTGTGTGCAGATTAGCTATGACATGAGTCTTCTTAGAAGGACCAGCACTATAGAGATGCACATGAGACCACAGAGATTGCAAAATTAAAGACAGCACTCATTCCCCAGGTCATGCCAGTGCCAGGACAGCACCTATTCATGAAAGTCTCTTAAATTTTGTACCTCAAGCATTAGACTTCCTTCAAGCTACCACCAGCATGTGTCATAGGAAATATTTGTCAGGGAGAGTAAATCTCCCCTTTGGATTCCAAGAAAAATTTTGTGTCTTACCTAAAATAGCAACAATTTTCAGGTTCAAAAATGCACACAGATTTTTAAAAAAGTCTCTGCTGTTTGCACTAGACCAATCCATCTCTCCAATGGTTGTTCTGATGAGTTGGATGATATTATGACACAATAGAAAAACATATTACCCATTACAAATGGCATTGCATTATAAACCATAAATAATTGATAGGCAATGATATAGAATAATAACTTTCCCTCAGAGCTATTTGTCTGAGGTCTTAACAAATTTTCTCTGTTGAATCATACATAGACTAACACCAAAATGGCAGGTATAATGCCATTTGACTGAGCATGTTGGAAAAGAGGATGATGGAGACTCAGGGACAAGGTGGGAAGGGAAGAAACTGCTCCGGGCTACCAGATTTAGCCAGTGAAGATATAGGACAAGAAAACACTGAATCGACATATTTATGTTAAAAATCATTTGTTGTTTGTCTGAAATTTAAATTTAACTGGGTGCCCTATATTTTATACAGAAACTCTACATATTAATTTCCTACTATTTTTTTCACAAATTACCATAAACTCTGTAGCTTAAAACAACATAATTTATTACTTTTATACCTCTGGAGGTCTGATGTCTGAAATCAGTTAAACTGGGCTAAAATCAAGGTTTCTGTGGGACTATATTCCTTCTAAAGGCTCTAGGAGAAAATCTCTTTCCTTTCTCTTGCCAGCTTCCAGAGGCCATTTGCATTCCTTGACTTCTGTCCAATATTCCTATGGCCTTTCTATCATCACATCCTCTGATCCTGACCCTGCTCCCTCCTTCTTATGGAGACCTGTGTAAATAGATTGCCTCCCCGACCACCAATCCCCCGGATAATTATGCTCCATCTCCCTAGGATGCTTAATTTAATCACACCAGCAATACAGGTTTTTCTATCTAAGGTAACATATTTACAAAGAATAAAAGAATAAGACAGTGGCATCTTTGGATGTGTTACTCTACCTTCCACCCAGCCTGGCCTAGGTAGAAATTTTTTAGTTCCTAAAATGTGGCATCAGGATGCAGACATTTTGCAAACAACACTGGTGGCATTTGTACTGTTGCTCTGCCCCTGAATATTTCTTAAAAATTTCAAACCTTTGGAGCTTGCACTCCTGACTGAAATGGAAAGCAGTAGGTAGAACTTAGTTTCTGGAGTTGGGGCAAATCTGAATGGGGATTATGATTCTTCCTCTGAATAACCTTGGTGGATTGCTTCCTTCTTTTCTAGTCTATGGAGTATAAGTAACAATGACTGACCTCTCACCCCCAGGGGTATCACGAAGGTGAGAATTTTTCAGTGAGTGTGTGGCAAGCACCACACACCCATGGGGGACGCAGTGGTTAAGGTGTCTGCTGATGAGAGGCTGATGAGAATGGCTACACAAACCCTCTTTCTGGAGAAAAGTAGACATGCAGGTTATGGAGATGGCATATTGCTCTTGAGGTGGTTACCTGATGATTCATGCTGGGAGCATACTTAACTCGCAGGATTTCTCAGTCTTGAAACTATTGACATGGGGCCGGATAATTCTTTGTGGGTTGTTCTTAGATTCCATCTTTCCCTTTTACTCTGATGTTCCCGGTGTGATAAGTTCATAATCAGAACTTCATCTCTTTGATCTCAAACATCTCTGCAAATGGCCTCTTTGCTATCAATCATTTACATTTTAGTGCGAATGAGGAATCTGAACTCAGATTGCTCAATCTTTACAAAATAGAAATGATAGAGACAGAAAAGAAGGGAGCAAGAGAGATTTGACAGGCAGAAAAAGTAGGTGCTGATTTGGGGAAGCAAAGGTGACTGATGTTTACAGAGTACCTATTAGCTGAAGATGATATGCTGGTCATGACATCTCTTCATCAGGACTTCTAATGTTGTCTGTCACTTATAAGCATAGCTTTGGTTATTAGGCATTGCATATTGAACCCTTTAATAAATAGTTAGATGACTAAATGAAGGAATAATCCCTTATGATTCATACTTTTATGGTATAAATCTTATTTCTCTATACTACATTGGCCTTGGTAAAGTCATGGATACCTAGGAGAACCGCCTTTTTCTTTTTTACTCCAAGTCTCATATTCATTTATCTACTCATTCCACATGCCTAATCCAAGTACTGTCTAGAAACTGAGAGGCAAGGTAAATAAGTCAAAGTCTGTGCCCTTAGCTACCTCTTATCTAGCAGCAAGAGCGTAAAATCTGTGAACATATAAGTAATATAATAATCACGCTGATAATCTCTTTCATTCCAGTGAGTCCACATCACATATTATACACATCATCTTATTTAACCTTTGGGAATAACCATAAGAGGTAGGTGGAGCAGGGACTTTAACAGAGACTCATTTGATATCAAAGCCGATGATCTTTTGTTTCAATAGCCAAATTTATAAATGACATTAAGACCAACTAATTTTATCTAGATTTTCTCTTAAGATCAACTACTATTCTATCATTTAGTTATAAAATAATAGTGCATCCATTTTATTGTTTATAGCTTACACAAGTAAGAATGTACACGTGTATGCTTTAGATCTTCTGATATGCATTAAGTAAATGGTATTAGCAAGTGACTTGACAAGTGGTTAGAAGATGAAGTAAGCAAATAGCTATGGATCTAGTTATATATGGGTGTGTAGATATAGTTACCTTATATCAGATATTACACTAGACACTAGGGATAAAATGGTGGATGAGGTATAGCCTTTTCTGTTAAGAAGTTCACAAAAGCATTGATTCAAAAGAATACCTGCAATAATATTTTATTGAAGCACTATTTATAATAGGTAAAACCTGGAAACAACCCAAATGCCCCAAAATAGATGACTGGATCAAGACAATGTGGTATTTATGCACAATGGAATACTATTCAGCAATCAAAAAAAGACAAACTCGTGCCATTTGCAGCAACATGGATGGAGCTAGAAGGAATTATGCTCAGTGAAATAAGTCAGAAGGAAAAAGAAAAATATCAGATTGTTTCACTTATAGGAGGAATATAGGGGGGCCAAATAAGACATCAGGGAAAAAATAATAATAATAAAAAAACACAACAAAACAAAAACAGACAATTATAAACCAGAGACATCCTGCAGGGGAGGGGGAGGGAGAAGCACAGGTGAATTGGTGATGGAAATGCTATGGGGACTACACTTGAGAAAAGAAAGCAAACATTGTTTAAAAATAAACAATGATGTAAAATATACATAAATAAATAAATGTAAAAAAGGAAGTTCACAGCCTGCCAATAAACCAACAGTCTTGATAATGTGGTAAGTGTTATGTTGGGAGGCTTTGGTGTCTGGGGGAACTCGCTTGGGAGAGAGGGTAGCCATTAAAGTCTTCTCTTGAAAAGTAACCATGAAGTAAAGGTCCAAAGGATGATTTGAGTTGGCCAAGTAAATTGGTGGAAGGGGCTTGATCAGACAGCTTAGGCTAGGCTATGCTGTACAACAAGCAACTGTCAGATCTTGGAAGGTTTATTAAGGTCGATTAAGGTTATTTTTTTCTCATGCTATGTCTCTCACCAGTAATTTAAGGATTTTATTTTGTACCTCTTTTACCCCAGAATCCAAGCTGATGGCGCCTCTACCAACTGGAAATTAACGAGAAGAGTGAACTGAAAGTAAACATTGACATTTGCCTGAATGGAGAAACAATGCTTTCACCTGCATTTCATTGACCAAATCAAAATCCACGGATATAAACTAAATTTAAGTGAATGGGAGGTGAGCTATTACCATATTCCTCAGAGGAAGGGAATCGGAGAACTGACAAAAAGCCCAAAAGACCATTTCTAGGATAGGGGGAATGGGTGGGTGCTCCTGCATGTGGAAAACCTGGAGAACTAGAAAGCCTCATTCTGGGGAGTGCAGTGGCCCAGAAAGCCCATAGCCCAAGTGAACTTGTCATCTAAATTATTCTTAGCATTCTTAACCCGTCATCCCCATCCCACCAAGACCAAGCACTATGGTTGGCATCAAACCACTGAGTCAAAATTGACTGTCTGCATTAGAGTTGAGTGTGTTTGAGTGTAAGAATCTAGGGCCTGCCTTTTGAAGTGAGATCCACATTTTCACACAAGCCTTTTTCCTATCCCGTGCTTACCTGGGGAAGGCAAAAGGCACTTCGTTTTTTGGCCAGACAGGATGGTGGAATATAATTATTATTTATTTAAAACTCATTACCTGCAAAGTCTTTTATATGGAATCAATTAAGAAAGCTCTTAAAGAAAAATAAAATATTATGCTTGGTGTAACCCGGTTTGGGGGGCCCGCTGGAAGTGTTAGAAATCCCCACAGGTCTTGACAATTTTTTCATCTCTTTTTTAAAAGCGTAGTTGCTGCCAGGGTATTTGGCTCCTAGTGGTAAGTGCTGGTTGTGGTTTCCCCCCAAATAAAATTATGGACATGTTGAAGGTTGGAAAGAGCAGTGAGTGGGAATTGAGAGGGAGTGTGGGTACTTACGGCGGTGAAGGTGTCAGATTTTACATGTCTGGGATTTGTTTCCACCAGGCCCCGCTCTGCAATCACTGTTCTGTTAATATGCTTACGGGAAGGGTTGGCTCTATTTCCAAGAAATCTCTCTGCACTGGGGACATCAGAATGTAAAGGCTGACCATGGGAGAGCTAGTTTCGATGGTGCCAGCAAAGGTGCTACGATGTGAAAGGGCAGTGTGAGAAACAACACTCCCTGAGATTCAGCAGCCTGGAGATGGAGGTCCAGAGACGGGGGAGTGTTGGGTTGACCTCTATGTCATCTTGGGGTTCTCTGAGCTTCACTTTCTCGAAAGTGGGTTGGACTCTGTGACCTCTATTGCTATAAGGTCCCTTCTGCAAGTGGCATGTTCTGAGTCTAAAAGAACCTTATAGAATGGACCAAAGCATCACCATTCCTGCCCTGGGGACTCATTTGTATGAATTAAGATCTTGCTTTTGGAGAGAGTAGCATTAATTACTAGCCTACAGCAGCAGAGTGTAAGCCAGAGGACAGTGGAAGTATTTTTAGGCTCACGCTGGAGATGAAAAGAAAACAAAAATCAAGGAAATGAGCACATGCAGGGTCCTGATTGGTCAAAGTTCCTCCAAGTCTCCAGAATTTTAAAAATGTGTATTAGTGGTGCTTAGTGAAATAAGTTAGATGGAAAAAGACAAATACTATATAATTTCACTCATGGATGGTAGATAAGGGAAAAAAAAATCACAAAACAAATGCACACATAAACAAAGCAAAAACAAACTTTCAGACTGTAAGATCTAAATAGTGATTACCAGAGTGCAGGAGGAGGGGTGGTGGGCAAATCAGGAACTAGCCGATGGTGGCAAACCTAACATAAGTTGATATATGAGGGCACACCTGAAACCTGTATAATGTTATAAGCCAAAGTTCCCCCTCTCTTTCAAGCTGTTTTGGGCTCACCTGCCAACCTGAGTGATACTCTATAGGAAAAGCAAGGGGTTTGATGAGGTATTTCAATGAGACCTCTCCTAGAATCAGAGGGAGGTACAGGACTGTGTACTGACAGTTACTATCCCAACAAGAGCATGAGACCTATTGAAGAGCAACAATTCTGGGAGTTTCCAAGTTCTGGATTTATTTCTATCATTTGCTAGCTGTAAGATCTGGAGCAAGGTAGTATGATTCAGTTGTGTCATTAGTAAAATGGGGAAACTAATGGTACTTATCTTAAAGGTGCTGGTGAGTATTAAGATATGTACCAATGAGAATATATAGACCCTAACCACATACCAGTTAGCCTTTATTAATATTAAGCCTAGACCTGAATTTTGTATGTTTATTCATTAAATTCTTTTAATCATCTCTGAGTTGATACTAGTATTATTGACTCCCCTTTTACAGATGGCACTAAAGCACAGAGATGTAAGTAACTCCCCTTAGAAGTAAATCACAGTCAGTGAGAGAAAATGGAGATGAATACAGGCAGTCTGATCACAGAACATGTCCTCTGAACTCCGGATGTGATTAGCATTGGCTACCCACAATAATAACATCCCCTCTAGAAACCCATGCCAGAAAGTGGTTTCTAGAATCCCACTTTAACTGATGGAGACTGCTAAGCTCTGGGAGGTTTAGCAGCTAGGTCCAAGTCTTAACGTGAATGACAAGGTCAGTGAGTTTTCCATTACCCCAATTTCATGGACTACCTGTCAAAAAAGGCTGGGTATGACAAACACTCGAAGTGCTAGTCTTTTGAAATACACACTGTAGGTCTAAGGCCCAGAGCACTTCATACCTGTCGCTTCATATGAAGCTCTTTGATATCCAGAGCTCCCTGAAGCTGGCCTGGGGCTGGTCTTGGCAGGAAGCAAAAATTCAGACCCCTGGACCCTTGGAATCAGAACCTCTGCGATGAGGCTTAGACATCTGAGAAGCTTCACAAGTGATTTTGATGTACAACCAATTTGGAAGCCATGTCAACAGCAAAGGACCCAGATCCCTGAGTGGCAGTCCCCATGACGTGATGCAGAATGGGGTTGTGGGGGAAGTGTGGTCAGAGAGGCCCTGACTATGACATCCACTGCTGACTCAGTTGACAGTAGCCTTCCTGAGTGTTGGTGTCTTCATCTGTGGCACAAAGATAAGAGGTCATCGCAAGGAGCATAATATGTATAAAGGCCTAAGTGTAGAAAGGCCCCGGAAGGCGAGTTTTCTTTTCCTCCCAAGTCTTTGTGGAAGTGCTTCTCAACTGTGAAGAACAATGCAGAATTATGTGATATGTCTAGTTGGGGAAACAAAAGCAGAACAAGGCTTTATCCCTGTCTTCAAGGAGTTTGCAGCTTTGCTCAGAAATGAGCACTAATACCTAAAATAAATTTTAGAATCACACAAAAGAAGACAAGATGAATGACTGGAATGCACCCGGATGGGTTTGAAGAGGAGCCCAGGAGTGAGGGTCACTCCCAAAAGTCTTCCAGGCACAGTAAGTGTTAATTTCAGTTAAGAGTTTCTCAGTTCGAAAACCTCACTGTCATCCTTGATTTCTTTATTTTACACCAAGCAATTCCAAACAATCAACGCACACCTTTTGGGTTGAATTTTTGCAAGATTTCTTGTGACCATTTTTGAAATCATCATGTCTTCTAAATGCTTCTGGTGTTTCTAGATGAAACTGGTGATAGGTATTTTTAGTAGCCTCTGAAGCTGATATCCAAAACATAGTAATCTATATATAAAAGTTTTTTTTATTTTAATATAATTTATTTATGTATATTTTATATCATTGTTCATTTTGGTACAATGTTTGCTTTCTCTTCTTAGGTGTTCTTAGAATATTTGGATCCTCAATTTCTCCGTCAGTCAGAAATCCACATAATGGCAGATTTTCTACCAAAATATGCCTAAGAGAAAAGAAAAACCTAAATTGCCCCTCTGGGCTCTGCATAATGCAGGAGTAACCCCATGTGTCTGTTCATCACTGGTAACTGGGCATCTTTCAGCCCTGAAAGGCTAACCTGAGAAGCTCTAGTGGGTGGTACAACAATTCTACTTAAGCAGAGATCTGGCCCCAATAAAATACATGGGAAATGTCATAAGGTTATGTAGGTTGGAGAAATAACTCCAACACTTATAAATGGTAATTTGTATTGCCATGATCCCTCTTCCAGAAACTATACTATGTTCTGAGGAGCTCAATTATTGTCTAGTTCCTGAAAAAAATGACTTCTCCCAGCAATAAAATCAAATCAAATGGTTTCTAATCATGACTCATCTTGTCGTGCTTTGGTTCCAGGGAAAGAATCATAGCAAATCCACATGACAACGTGAACTTTTTAGTCTATTTCTTTTTCCCACTAGAACAGGATAAATGTGCTTTCTGGTATGCCTCTTGGTTTCATGGGCACATTGGGTAGCCTGAGTTCAGGCTGAGCTCTGGATACTGACAAGTTTCATTTCTTTCCAAACATTCTCCCTTAGATGATGTCCAAGCTTTCAATTCAGTCTCCCAAATCTCATAATCATCATAAGCTCTGAGCAGTTTGAATTGTGGTATGTCTAGTTGGGGAAACAAAAGCAGAACAAGGCTTTATCCCTGTTTTCAAGGAGTTTGTAGTTTTGCTTGGAAATGAGCACTAATACCTAAAATAAATTTTAGAATCACACAAAAGAAGATGAGATGAAAGACTGGAATGCACCAGGTGGGTTTGGAGAGGATCCCAGGAGTGAGGGTCACTCCCAAAAGTCTTCCAGTCACAGTGAGTGTTAATTCTATTCCAGAAGTTTTTCAGTTCAAAAACCTGTCATCCTTGACTTCTTTCTTTTACATGCACATCTTTTCCAACAGCAATGTCAAAGTCAGCTCTCACTTCAACATTTATCATTATCATTAATCAATATCCTCTCAAGACTTCTTTTACTACCACTTTAGTTCAAGCACCATAATTTCCCAGCTGAATTGTCACTGTAGACTTCTAGCTGGTCCTCTTCTTTACAGTCTGGCCAGGGTAATTCTTTGAAAAAACAATTCAGAGAACATCACAACTCTGTCTACAATCTCCAGTGGCCACCATCTTCCTAACAAGTTTCCTTATCTGGCCTACAATGTCCATGGAAGTTTTCTTCAGTTATGACTCTCACCTTCTATCAGGTCCTTCTTGCTCTCTCTGCTGCTCTCCTGGCCTCTCCCCTGACCTCAGCAGGCCAGGTGGTTCCCCTCCCCTCAGCCTACACAAGGGCTATTCTCTCCATTTGGAAGGCTCCTTCCCAGACATCACCTGGCTTCCTCCTTCCTGTCTTTCAGGTCTCCATTCAAATACCCCCTCACCAGAGACTACCTCTATCTAAACTAGCACCTTCACCCCTCCACTCTCCTTACTCCCTTACAGTTTTATTTTTCTTTAAATCTTATATAGGCATGTGACATCTTAAGTCTTTATTTATTGTCTGTCTCCATTCTACAATGTAGGAGTTACAATTCCATCGATTTTGTTTACTGTTTACATAACCAGCACGTAAGTCACATCTGGGCATTTGGTAGGCAGGATGTATTTGTTGAATATATAAATGAATGAAGGAGTGAACATACATGTGTGTACATGTACACACGTTTGTATGTACACACACATCCATTATGTAAACACGCACATGTCTAAGCATACATACGGACCTCATTGTCAGTGGTTGTTTTAAATTACTCATGTTCCAGGAACCACCGTAAGTTAAGTCTTTTACTGACTTGATATTGCTATGTATTATTAATTTTTTATTAATGAAGTATCATTGTTTTACAGCCTTATTAGTATTTTCATCATAGAGGATTCTCCCTTTGGGTGTAGTCATTGTAGCTCTCCCATCCCCAAAGCATCCATAGTTGACCTGATATTTTTAAATGCTCATGACAATAGGACAATGTACTGTGATTCTGATTTTAGCCTCCTTCCTTTCATTTTACAGAGAAGAAGGAGCAGCTCAGTGACTGACTTGGCCAGTAGAGAGGTCAAGCGTGTAACTGGGTTTAAAGGACTCTGGAGCTATGGACTTTCACTTCTCAACAATGTGTCATCTGGGCCGAGAGGGACATTGACAAATATACTGCGGTGCGGTTTCTGGAGGTCGCTTTCTGAGAGAGATGTTGAAATAACACGCTTGTGTGTCAGTCACGGGGAGTTGGGCTGGAGCAGTAGTTACTGTCGACAAGTCAAAACGGCTCACCTGGGTGACTACACTGAACACCTACCCTCGGATTTTATTCCTTTAGGAGGAAAAGGAAAAAACAGGAGGCGAGTGAGAGGAAAGGAGTGTAAGGTTCCTCTGGCAGGTAGCCAAGCTTTCCTGTCAGGGCATTTCTGACTCTCCCCTCTCTCTCCCCTCGATTACTCATACCGGGGAAGATGAGTCTCATGGCACAGACTCTTGGAATATTCCCAAGTGAGGACTGGGGGAGGAGGGGCCGAGTCAGCAATGGGTGGACCCAAACTTGGCTTTGAGAGCTTAGTTTTGCAGTCACAGGTATTCTGAGAGGCTGATTGGCAGCTGACAATTTAATAGGAACTGACTACATTGATGTACTGGCTTGACCCTTCTTTTGGGTGTTTGAAAGTTTCTTCCAACACTTGATTTCTGAGAAATAACGGGGATAGGACTGAGATTCTGAGAATGACAAGATTCTGCTGCCTGGCTGATGACCAAATCAAAGATTTTCTAGAGCTGGAAATACATCATCCTGGTTGGTAGAATTCTGAGCCCTAATATGTGGCAAAATCCCACAACCCAGCGAGTTACAGGGTTTCATGATTATAGGCCACTGAGGACATATGTGAAATCCGATAGTGTGATGCCTGGAAGACTGGCAGGTGTCCCTGAAATCCAACTGATTTGTTGCTTTCCCCTGTTGATTTGTTTGGGGAAGTGTTCTTAGGTTGGAGACCAGAGATTTTGCAAATCCCTGGATGTTGACTGTAAGTAGAGCTGTTTCAATTCCTGGAGAGGACAGTGTGTCTTCTGAACAGACTTACATGATTTGGGTGGGGCAGACATTTTTGACTGGCTACCAAGAGTCATCTCAAAGCTGGTCTCTCCTTGCTTGCCCCTAATCATTAGGTTAAAAGAGCCAGAACCAAATTCACATTCTGTCATCCTTCGTGGCAACAGGGCAGTCATATGACCTGTTTCTGCCCAGTGACATCTGAGATGTTTTCTCGATACCTGGGGCACATTTCTCCTTCTTCAAGAATGGAGAGTACATGGGCATAAGCTCTCTTCCCACCATCTCCTCCAGAATTGCCTCCTCACCCCCTATCCTTATACCATCTTCATTTCCTACTTCTTGCCTTTAACTATGGTTTTGTGAAATTGTGACACTTAAATAGGGCAGCCGATCTGAGAAAATGAAGGAAAGATGAAAGTGAAAGTGAGAGACATCGATCTAAATGGTTTGAAATTACAAAACTATTGAGCAAGTCCTGGAACCCTCACCTCCAGACATTTTACTAAATACATAATATCTTTCCTTTAGATTTAAATCATTGGTTTGGTTTCTCTTCAACCATTTTCCTCTTCAAAAGCATCCTCATCTTTGAATGTGCAAATTTCCCCCGGGAACTGGCACTGGTGAAGGATTAGAAGCTCTCTAGATTATTGGTACTGAGTAACTGGGAATCAACTCGCCAAAAGCTCAGGTTGGGAAAACAACATCATTTACTTTCCATTCAGACCTAGGCTCAAACAAGACAGGGGCCATTGCCGTGGGCTCTCTGCTGGCTGTCCATGCCATGTGTCAGACTGTGTTATATGTGTGGGTGGTGGCTGTGCTTTAATCATCTCTGTAGCCACCTGACCCTGAAGCAATAATAGGCAATTAGTGTTTGCTAAGAAGACTGGGCTGGGTATTGGAAGTTTGGAGTTCTCGTCCTAGCTTTATCATGAACTTACAGTGTGATGTTGGACAAGGCACATTACTCCTCTGGGCTTTACTTAGTTTTTCCAGGGTAAATAGAGCTTGGGTTATATCAGCCTAATTCTATGACTATAACTAATGGGGGATGGCAGTATGTTTTAGATTCTCAGTTCTAGAGATATAGAGTCACATATTTTTTTCAGGTCAAGATACTTTATTCTCAAAACCATGCAGAATACATGAATTATAAGTCAGAGTGAGCAAAAGATGAACTTAAGCATTAAATAGGGTACAGAATGAATGTACAAGGGTCTAATGAATCTTCTTCAAGTGTGACTTTTACTCAAGAACATTATACGTAAATTGAGGTAATGACAAATGTGGCAAACTGAGGCACAGCTGACTAACTTTCCCTGGGTCACACAGGTGGCAACATTGCATGTGGCTTGACCCTGGTGTATGCACACCTGGCTGTAACTAATATTGTACCACATGACTTATTCATATTTTCCTTGGATTATAAATTACTGGGATTTTTAAAATTACTATTTATTTTGGCCTGACTTGTTTGTGTGCTTACATATGTATGTAGTGTCGTGTGTGCATGGTAATGTGTGCTGGGCTTGCATGTATGCATGTGGTGGCTGCACTGACAGAATGCTTAATAAACTGCAAAAGAAGAGAACCCCTATAGCTTTTGCAAAGTGTTAATAAATAAAACAAACTCATTTTCATCTTCAGGGATAAGTTCTAGCTTCTATCAACACACACATTGGAATTATTGAAATATCTGGGGTAGAATACATAAGCCCCAGAGATCAGTTTGGGAAGATGACCATAGGCAGGAGAGATTTATGGCAGAATAATTGAACTTAAATGTTGGGATTTAGAAAGTTTTCAGTAAGAGAAGAGTTTGTTTAAGAATACTTCAAATCTTTTATGGATCTTCAGAATAAGTTACGGATTATTTCCAGAAGAGAAGAACACATAGTTTCAATATTTGTATGTAACTTCATGGGGCTCACAGATTTCTTTTGGAAAAGGATCCCCAAGTAAAGGCACAAGCAGAATATGTAACATATGGTCAAAAGCAGATGGAGACCTTTTGAACTAGAGTTAAGGACAAAATTTAGCTAGTGTCCTCAGCAGATCAGTGGAGCTCTGAACACAAAGGGGGTTCTTGTTAGTATTTTTTTTTTTAATTTAGTGGTGACTTAAATCTGATGGAAGCAGGTTCTAGATTGGAGGATCAAAAAGGTAAACTTATTAAGTATGTAAGCACTAAGGTAAAATTGCCTGTAGTTAAATCTTAGCTCTTGTATTTGTTAGTTGTATGATCCTGGGCAAGTTAATTAATTATGACAAAGTTCCTCATTTATCCAATGAAATATCTCTTGGGATTGTTTGGAGAACATCCTGAGTTAGAACAAGAAAATTGCTCAGTTGTATAACTGGGATAAAGATAAAAACTCAACCAATTCTGGCTACTAGAATTTTGGAGAGTTTTAAATATTGTACTTGATTTAATGTCCAGTCATTCATAACTGAACAATCACTGGATTTCTTAGTAAGTCATTCCCATTGATGAAAACACAGTTGATACTAAATAACCATTGGGGTATACCATGGTGGTGGGCTTGGGGGTGGATCTTTTTATCCTGAGAATACTATGTTGAAATTCTAGCTGAGAACACTATAGATTCCACATTCCATGCTCAATCTTGTCTCTGTAGAATGCAGGCATTTCATAAAGAATAAGACTTCACACCTGCTAGACCAAGAAATGGCAGACATGCAATGATGGAGATAACCCTGGGAAATGAAGTTGAAGGCAAAATGAGTTTGATCCCCAGCTGGCCAGGGAGCTACCCACATGGCACAGCAGACCTCGCCTGTCTCACCAGCTGCTCCCCTCAGCAGTGTGTTTTAGTCAGTCTGACTGACTGACATAGACATTTACCATTTTTGAACATTTGGAATGCATAGAAATTGAGTTTGTAATCCTTTAGGCCTGGCAGGAACTTCTTTCTTAAACTCTTAAATGACTCTCTTTTTAGGCTTCCAGGATGAACAAGGGGCAGTATGACACCACTCATGATTGGGACTTGTTGACATCTCTAGCTCCATCCTGGCCTCCCTCTGCTTTTGCTTTTACAGTTTGTTCTGGTGAAAAGTTAAGAACTTTGTTGTCATGCTGTTCCAGCTCTGTGCTTTGCTCATAGTGTTTGTTCTGCCAGATTGCCCCTCCCAACTTCCTTGACACTTATTTGTCTCTTGCAAGTGTTAGATGGCATCTCCAAAAGGCCCTCCCAGTCAGCAATCTGGGTTACTTGTCTCTCCCTTTATTCCCAGGATGACTTATGGGTCTTCTTCCTCTCAGATGATGATCTGTCTGTATGTACACTTCTTTCTGAAGCCAGAGACTCTTTGAGGATAGGGTCCATTATTTATTTTTTTTCAACAAGCACTCATTAAATGCCTGTTGACTAGAGCACAACACTTTAAAAGTGACAGGTGTGCCATACATGGATTTTCTACCACTGGTTGATTTCCTAGTCATCTCCATTTCAGCTAGAGTGACCTTCCAAAGCTCTAAACCTGGGTGTCATCCCTGAATCCTAACTTTCTTTGGTAGACTGGGCTGTAACCATCAGCACACCTTGACAGCTTCATTTATAAATATGTCCTCAATCTGACCACTGCTCTTGGTCTACCTCTGTAGTCCAAGTCATCATTTCTTTTTTTTTTTTTTTTAAGATTTATTTATTTATGCATACAAGAACTGGGGTACAGGCCAGAAATATGCGAGGGAGAGGATTCACCAGAGACAGAGTGGGGAACAGAACAGGCAGACTGACTGAAATATACTGCTGAGGGGAGCAGCGGGCAAGATAGGAGAGGTCTGCTGTGCCTTGTGGGTAGCTCCCTGGCTGGCCGGGGATCAAGCTTGTGCTACCGAGGCTGCTAATAAATTCAGAGTGATGTGCTTAACCCATTATGCCACCAAGGAGGCCCCGGAGTCTTCATTTCTTATCTCCTAGTTGGTATCTCCTAGTTTCTACTTTTATCACTCTCCCTCCACCCAGAGAAAGTCTATCCTGAATAAAACTGGTAGGGCATCCTTATCACAACCTTAAACAAATAGAAAATCCCCAAACAGATCAGCAATTTCCTTTGTTCCTTCCCCACCCCTTCAAAACACACACATTTTTTCCTGTTACTCTAGAACACAACCCCAACTCTCCATGTCCTGCTCAAAAGATTCTCCAGGGCAAGCCACGGAAACAC